CACTCCCACTCTGGCACTCTCTCCACCCAAAATTAAAGTCTTTCCTTGAAACAGAGAAATAGAGTCAAACAAAACAAATTCAGTCTTTTTCTGAAAACGCATGTCTTATTCTGCTCCTACAATCCACCCCTAAGCCAAAGTGGCAAGCATGCATGCTTCATTATGGGTCTTCTGCAATTGTGTTTGATTATTGAGTTGATGAGGAGGGGAGGCTAGGTAGAACTGTGAACAGAGCATTTGACCTGGCATCTGGAAGATCTGAGTTCAAATCCAGCCTCAGATATTTACAGTGTGACCCTGGCCAGTCAACTAACCCCTATTTGCCCCAGTTCATCTGTAAAATGGGGACAGAGAGAAGGAAATGGCAAACCACTCTAGTATCTTTGCCAAGGAAATCTCCTGGACAAAGTCCATGGGGGTCACAGTCAGACACCACTGAATAACAAAAAACAATTGATCAGAGTTCTTAAGTCTTTCAAAGTTGTGTTCCTTGCAGTATTGTAGTTATCACACAACCTGTTCTTAGTTCTTATTTCATTCTGTATCTGTTCATGGCTTCCCAGTTTTCTCTAAACCCAGACCCATCTAAAATTTCTTATGCGCAATATCCCATTAGGTTCACATATTGTTATGCAATTATTCAACTGAGGAGCACCCACTGTTTCCAGTGCTTTCCTCTCTCTCTATACACACACACACACCATGTGCATACATGGAAATGTATTAAGCACCTACTATGCACCAGCCTTTGTGTTAAGTGCTTTACAAATAGTATCTCATTTGATCCTCATCATAATCCTGGGAGGAGGTGATGTGTTATTTCCATTTTATAGTTCAGGAAACTGAAACAGAGGTTAAGTGACTTGCTCAGGGTTACATTGCTAGTAAGTGTCTGATGCCCCGATTTGAACTCGGGTCTTCGAGATTCCAGACCTACTGCTCTATCCACTTTACCCCCTAGTGGTGGTAATGCTGGGAAAGGAAATGATGACAATTAATTGACTTTAGGGATTAAAAAATTCATCTTCCTTCCCTCTCACCCTATCTCCAAGAACAATTTTTTTTAAAAGGTAAAAAAATGTATAATTAGGCAAAACAAACTTCTGTGTTGGTCACATCCAAAAGGAACACACAAACACACTCACTCTGCACTCGAGTCTTTCCCCATTAGGAAGTGGAGAGCATGTTTAGCAGGAATCCTCTGGAATCCTGGTTGGCCCTTAGACTGATCAGAGTTCTTTAGTCATTCAAAGTGTTCAGAATTGTCGCTGTGTGAACTGTTCTCCTGGTTGTTTGCTTCAACCTGCGTTAGTGCATACAAGTCTTCCCAGGTTTCCCTGAAACCAATCCCTTAACCATTTTGTGCAGGATAACGCACCAGGTACATTAAGTGCTGGCAGCTCCCCCCACCACCATTCCTTCCTTCTTTGTATAGACTTCTACTTCCATGCTGATTGAGACCACCTTTCCTAACCTTCCTTGTTCTTCCAATCCCCCTTTCCCTTAGTATATTTCTCTTCCTTATCCTTCTAAACTCAAGACTTACAAGAACCACTCCTGTGCCTTCTAATTCGACTCCCTCCAGGACCCTCTGACATGATGATAGGATTGGCTTCTATTTGGTCTATTTCAATTTTCAGGGAGTTTTACTGCTTGGGCCAGGTTTTAGGGAGTTTTGAATACACTGATTTCTAGCTCAGGTAAGGACAAAACGCAAAGTGTTTTATGAATCTGTTATCTTGAGTGCCTTCAGGCATCTTAATTGGATCCTCACATCTACCCTGAGAAAATGGGTACAAAAATATAGGACATTTGGAAGTTGGAATGGCGTACCCAAAGAAGGGCTCTGGAGATCACCTAATACAACTCCTTCCCATCAGAAAAGTAATATGGTGGTGACATTTTAAAAATTTCCACACTGTACCCTCCTCCTCAAGCACCGCCCCCGCCCCCCCCCCCCACTTTTTAAAATTTTTTCCCCTCAAACAGCACTCCTATTTCTACTGGCTCATGGGTGGACGGCTTTCAGAGGAAGTCTGTTGCTAAAGAAAGCCCACCTTCCTCCTCTCCAGTTTGCCATAGATTGGAATTTTTCTAATATAATTACTGTCAGTAGTACAGTACAAATACTTAGGGCTATTTTTATATTAATAATTGCTTCTGTAGGTTCCATGATCCAAAGGAAACAAAACGTCTTCATTACTCTATTGATCACGAGCATCTCCATGACACACTGGGTCACCAACTGGGGCAGTCTACCCTGGCCATAACTGACGTAAGTTTGGTTCTTGTTTCCCTCAGATTAGGAGGTGACCCTGGGCATCAAGGCAAAAAATGCCACACTCTCCCTGCCCCCCAATACTCTCTCTTACCCAGATGAGAGTAACATTACCCATCTATTTGAAAACTGATCAGTAACAATGATGTGCTCTCCTAGGGCCTGGAACCTAGTTGGTGTTTAATACTTGTTAAACAGTTGACTTCATAATCTGGAGAAAGAGCACAACATTGGAAGGTCCCCATGTAATCTTAGTCTCCCCATCCCATTTCATAATTTGTATATCAAGACATAGTAATCAATTGGAGTCGTGCTTATAAAACATGTAAAGATGAAGCAGATTGTCATGGTTGTATTAACATCTGGAGTGTGTGTATATAGCTAACTATATGCATAGTATACAATAAGAAAGGTATCCTGTGTTTTTGCAATGAATATTTGAATTCTTGAATTCAATGTTTATTGTTCATTAAGACCAAAACCTTGAATTAACAGAAAAACTCCTTGCTCATTTATGCATAGCTTTTTAGGAACATGTCTGAGGGATAACTGTAAAAGCTGACATACTTCACACGTTATTCAACCAGCATGCTACTAATCATCATGCTGATTTTTTTTTTTTGGCTCTGTAGGACTAGGTGGTATCCTCTAGTGCACGGGTATCACCCCCAATAATGTTAACACCTTTACTCCTCTGTTCTACATTTGTATTGACTAAATCGTGACTCCATTACACAAAGGAAAGCTGTTGAGGTGATCATAGGCTCTTTGTAACATACAAATCCTTCATTAAAGGCCTTGGCGACATCTTGGCTTTGTCATGTACCTGTGGAGGTGACCCTGGGTTCTTTAAAGCCATGTGAGGAGAACATAAATTTTGGTATAACAGACCAAGCTAACAACTCTTTTTGAGCGTGGGTTATTGTTTAAATGAAAACCAGCCTAGCAAAATGTGGATAGGCTTATAACCAGGTAATGGATCCTCATGGACCACTGACCCTCAAGAATTCTAGGGAAGGAGTACCCAGAATGAGAACATCACAGATTCTTGTAATGTATTGAAGCAGTGTGTATTGATAGAGGTATACAGATGTATCTATGCTCAATAATTATTAGGAAATGGCAGTAAATATAGGGTGGTTATAAAGTCTTTACACAACTTTAAACTTTGGTAACTTTAGATATACACGATAGAAGTACACTGGTAAACCTTAGGAAAGGTAAATTCTCCAAGTAATTTATGAAGTAGTGTTAACTGTGGGTTAATTTATCTTTCTTACTTGTGGATTATTTTATATGTTAGTGTTGACTGCAGGTTACTTTCATGTAATTAATTTTTTTAAAAAACATAAGTCATTAAATTACTGAGTACAAACTAAAAAACTGGCCTGAAAAAATGTGTCCAGTTATACTGAAGGCTAAAAAGCCAAGCTGTATGGTTCCACTCCTTAACATTTCAGCTTCTATCATGGATATCAAGTAATTAAACTTTAAAGGTGTTCAAGAACTTTTTACCTGGTATTTAGGTAAGAGAAAAAAAAACTAGAGAGTTTTGAGTTTTTAATGTCAGATGATATGAATAACAGCTAATATTTCTATAGTGCTTACTATGTGCCAGGCACTATACTAACTAAGTGCTTTATAGATCTGATCTCATTAGATCATTAGATGATCAGATTGTCATCCAAATTTCAGAATGAAAAATGGGGAGGCAGAAGCACTAGCAAAGTTCTGATGTGTGGGCAACCGAGGGTCTTCTGGACTATCAGCATGACAAAAGCAGGCTGCTTTACTTAATTTCCCCTCACTCACTTTTAGAAAATAATTAGGATAAAATAAACTCTTAAAACATTCTGAAAAAGCCATCCAGTTTGCTAGAGTCCAGACGGTCCATCTTAAAGTGGTCCGTGGTTGGGAACACACGTCTGAGCCGGGCCCAAGGGTGTGACATGGAGGCTCCCAAGGGGCATTTATTTACTAGTGAGTTATTTACAAAAGACTTCAAAAGGAATCATTTTGTTCAAGTTTAAGGCACTAAGACCACAAAGCTCAAAAAGAAGTGCTCACAGTTTAGGACAGAGGTGGTGAACCTGAGGCTTAGAGACCTTGTGTGTGGCCCTCTACGTCCTCAAGTGCGGCCCTTTGACTGAACCCAAACTTCACAGAGCAAAACCCCTTAACAAAAAGATTTGTTCTGTAAAACCTGGACTCAGTCAAAAGGCCAAGGATCACACGTGGCCTCCAGGCTGCAGGTTCCCCAGCCCTGGTTTAAGAGAATGCCTCATGTTCTCCCAACTGATGCAATTTATCTGTTAAGGTAAGTGCTCATTTTCAAAGGCAAATAAATGCTTGATTTAAAAAAAGGTAAAAATTAGAAAGAAACACTAGAGTTCAAAGTCTTTTAAGTTGTTCTGGAATGTTCCTATATAGGCTTCCTAATATTTCACAAGACTACTCAATAAACACCCATAATTAGGCAATCAGGATTACAAAATTATGAAATTCCTTGGAAATATAGCTCATATAAAAAACACTGGGAATATAAAAGAAAGCAGATGTTAAAGAAAATAGTTCAAAATTTTAGTCACTGTGAATCAGAACCCAATGTAACTGATAACTGGGGGTGAAAAGCCTGCTTTCACCCCCACATTGGGATTTATGTTAAAGTTGGCTCCCTCTATGCCCAGAGTTTAATCGAATGAACCAACCAACAACGAATTCAGAGTGTTAAACTTAATCAAGGGTCTCCTCAAAGGTCATCATAATGTCGCTTTGCAGGTTCATATCGATGGTGCTGGCCATCTGTGGAAAAAGGAAGAGAAACGAAACAGATACTGAGAACTAGGATGCAAGGAGTCATTGTGGCACAAGAAAATTTTAATCCCTTCAGAGTTAACTGTCATAAAACTTTCATCTTTTCCATTTTACCAGAAGCAGTTTATTAGTGCAACCTTACTTTTCTGAGCAGTTAAGATACTAGATTAAATTTTTACTCCCCTTTGCACATAAGAAGAAAACACTGTAAATTTTAACAAAACGTGCTTTCTTTTTGTTGTTCAAATGGGTTTTATAAAGATCAGATGCTTGTTCTGGTAAAGCAGCTCCTGAGTTTAGCAGGAAATCACAAGGAAGCATCTGGTAGATTAGGACTCCTCTAGCCACATGAAGACAATGGCCGAGTTAGAATAGTGCAGGTGGCGCCTGAGCGTTGTCCTGTATAATTGAGTACGGTTATTAAACATCACCCAAGCGATGCAGAGATAAGACTTTCCAATACCTTAAGGAGGACCAAATCTTCAAATCTGAAAACACCCATCCAAACATCCAGAACAACCACAATAGTCTTCAAATAGTCAAGAAAACAGCTGATGGACACTGAAGACCTGGTCTGAAGATGATGCCCAGCGTGAGATGACACTGGATTTGGGGATCTCACTGGTTGGCAGTGATCACAGGCTGGAAAGCTCCAGGAGAGAATACAGCTGCCTCAGCAGAGAGAAGGGACCTGCCCTGGCCTGGGCATGTGCTCCAGCCTAGTCTGGAGGTTCCTGACCTCCCCCATTCCCCTAAAACGTCCCTTTTTGAGGGTCGCCCAATGCTCCCAGGTGGTGTGTCCTTCAAACACCTGAGTGTGATCGCTCTCATGTCTTCTCGAGACCAAACACTCTGGACACCTCAGCTGACCTTCATATGTTATTACACTAAAACCTTCTGTTGAAGCAGAAGGGTAGGCTCTCCCCTGGCCCTGTGCAGACACAGCAATGGTTGCAACGGGGGTCCCTAACAACCCTTTGTAAACCGTCTGCACCACTATTTAACTTTGGGTACACTGGTACACTTCCTGAGAGACCTTGGTCAAATAACCAAAAACCGACGTGCAAGCAAAGGCACCAAAACATGGTTTTGCCACAAATCAAACCAGGGGAAAATAAAGAAGAAAAAAAATGACGAAGAGTGAAGCCTGGAAAGGCAGAGAGTGGCGAGCACGTTTTCACACGCACACAGCCAACTCAGCCATTCTGACACAGCAAAGAAAGGTGGGAGCCAGAGGGAGGCAGGGAGAGCAGCAACTTAGGGTCTCAAAGACTGGGCATCAGGGGAGAGAATGTAGAGTGTGACCTTGGCCTGAACCCGAGGAACCAGAGGCCCAGGGATGGTGGGCAAGGCAGGGTGTGGCCCTGGGCCGCTGGCCTTTATGTCACCGGATGCTGTGAGTCCTGTGGTGCTGGGAAGGTTTTACTTACGGCTTCCCTTCTCCTCCGCTCTTGCTCTCTCTTTCTTGCCAAATTCCGATCTTTGATAAGCCAACAATCTTCTTGAACTTCCAATGGCGCCTGATGAGGTTTTTGTGTTTCAGGATAACATTCATCTTGAATTTTATTTGCATTCTTGTCAAAGTCCCTTTAAAAATCAGTTTTGTTTCATCAGAAAATACTAAAAGCTATGCAAGGGCCTTATTGCCTGGCTAATATATTTAAAGCTTATAAAAGAGCTACTAATGGGGCAGCTAGGTGGTGCAGTGGATAGAGCACCGGCCCTGGAGTCAGGAGGACCCGAGTTCAAATCTGGCCTCAGACACATAGCACTCACTAGCTGTGTGACTCTGGGCAAGTCACTCAACCCCAACTGCCTCACAAACAAAAAAAAGATCTACTAAGCTGTGTTACTTTAAGACACAAGGTATTATTTTGAAAACTCAACACTGCAAAATCAGTAATTTTTATTAAAAAAAAAAGTTAAGGGGTGTGTGTGTGTGTTGTGTGTGTGTGTGTGTGTGTGTGTACCCACACAACTCCACTGTATTCTATTCTTCAGAAAAAGCTATGAGAGCTTCAGAACAAAAGCCCATGGAAAGGTGGTTCCCAAATAAGACCCATGTGTCCTCCTTACAGCAGTGATGAGGCGGCTTTATGTGTTGGCATTAAATCCATCACTGCAGAGTTATGTGGCTCCTATGGATGTAAAATGGACACAAGGGGAGAATAATGCCTCAGAAAAAGGGGGGCTCTCCATTCCATCAAAATACCAATTCCAAATGAGAAAGGCTAGGTCAAAGTCAGGAGACATCAGCAGAGGGCTAAAAATATGAGTTATTCAGAATTCTGAGGACAGTACACGTGCCGATGAATCACTGAACCAAACCGGCCCCTGTGCTATTATTAACTCAAGCTGACATTCCAACTCTGTGCCTGGGCACAGGCCCTTGACCTCCTAAGACTGAATTCAGATGATCCCCCTCGTCGTCAGCATTCTCTCCATCCTTATCCGGAGACATCTTTGGTTCCCCCATGTACATCTACACTCCGTGACAGTGGAGGCTTTGATGTACTATCTTCATATCCCCAGCACCTAGCCTTGCACACGTGCACATTTGTTCAGACGTGTCCACTTCTTTGTGACTGCCCTCCCCCTCCCCCTTTGGAGTTCTCTTGGCAAAGATACTGGAATGGTTTGCCAGTTCCTTCTCCATTTCATTTTACAGATGAGGAACTGAGGCAAACAGGGGTAAGTGACTCGCCCAGGGTCACACAGCCAGGAAGTCTCTGAGGCCAGATTTGAACTTGGATCTTTCTGACTCCAAGCTGGGGGCTCCATGCACTACAGAGCCACCCAGCTGTCCTGCCTGGCACACAGTAGGTAATTAATGTTCAATTGAGAAAGAAATCTGATCCATTTCAAGTTACTACTTTTTTGGGGGGGGTTAGGCAATGGGGTTAAGTGACTTGCCCAGGGTCACACAGCTAGTTCAGGGTTATGTGTCTGAGGCCGCATTTGAACTCAGGTCCTCCTGAATCCAGGGTTGGTGCTCTATTCACTGCGCCAAGTTATTATTTTTGAAGAGCCCTTATATGATTAAAATATGGAGTATCTATTCAAACTACAATGTGAATAAAAAGGCTGAAGTAAAGACTATTTGGTACATTTCAAGCCAATGCCCAACAATCTCACGAATCTCATACGTCTGATCTGGGTGGGTTTTTGATTCCTCTGGCTTCTGATTCAGCTGCATCCTTATCAGCTCCTGTGTTCGGGTCCCCACTTCCTTTTCCATGGCTGCTTTTTTGAACTGCCTGAAGAGACCATCTGATGATTTTGGTAACACTGTAGTTGTGACTGTTTTGCCCAAATTTGTCCAACAGTCCACATTTCTGATCTTTATATCCTAAAAGAAATATTTAATTGTTAGTACACCTAAGATAAGAAAGAAAGGCATTAACTGGAGGGGAAAAAAATCTTTGCATCCAATATCTTAAGGTAAGGGTTGGACAGCTTAGATATATGATCAACAGAAACATTCACAGACACTTTCCCCCTTAATAGATACAGTCCTCAAAAGAAATGCAAGTTCCTACAACAAAAAAGAGTACTCCCCATTACTAATAACAGAAGAAGAGCTCGGTCCATAAAAATGCCCACCAATCTCCATTTCCTGCTTCTCAGTGATATTAAGGACAAATATTTACATTTCCAATTTGGAACGGTTTTCACTTGGTCAGGTAGGTTTTTGATTGAAGAATTAAATAGATTAAAAGAAGAGTTCATTTTTAAAAATTTGTTATACACCAAAGTTATGGGTTGTTGGGTTTTGTTTGTGAGTGCGGGTGAGGGTGAAGGGGACGGGAATAGAGGAAAAGGTTTGGACCTGACCCCCTATGTCTGGGTACAGGAGTCCCAAGGGAGGAAGCCTCTCTGACGATGCGGATCACGCCCTCCTTGCCTGAGGCTCTGACCAATGGGACAGAGGCAGGATCTGAACCCGAGTCAGCAGGTCAGGATGAAATTCATTAAGATCAGTAAGAAATGCTGGATTCCACTGTTCAAAGTAACTCGGCCAAATTCGTTTTGCTGTGTGCACAGTCACTGAGCTCTGTCAGCTTTGCACATCAAGTGGCCCATGTTTCTTTCCTTCCTAAGAACTAGCTCAACAACTGTAAAGAACTTGCTGGGTGGGTCAACATTATCAACAGTTCATTAGGTCCAGTAAGAAGTACAGAAGGGCCGATGTGGTCAAGTTATAGCCAACAGGTATCTGAGGAGCGCTGCCACGCTGTTATAAAAAATCGTTCTAAGCCCAGATCATGTGGTAGTTAAGTGAGGTTAAGGAACACACAGCATGGCGCACCGGGCATTGGCAGGGGGAACTTGGCTTTGAATTCAGCTGCTGCTGCTCTCGCTCTGTAACTCTGGACAAGTCACTTACCCTCACCCGTAAAAGGAGGAGGTTGGAGACCTTTCCAACTCTAAACCCTAGGACTGACTGTTAGGTCAAGTTCAGCTAACAGCAGCACTGCCTAAAGAAAATAACTTTCGGGATAAGGTTAAATCGAAGAATAAAACGGATCCGGGCTATATTTTCCAAGAAAATAGTAGGATTAAGTGCTAGGAACTGCTATGCAGAGCAGTGGGGAAAATACAACACTATACAAATGTTATCTTCACATTCACGTTTCATGAAATGTATTTCATACACAAAAGCTCCATTATTGTGGAATCCAAAAACAGCATAACTGATGGGCAAATTTAGAAAAACCAGGTAACTAGAAATGCACAAGGCCTGTTAAAGGCATTTTGAACAGTTAAGAGGTTTGAGGTCGAGGACACACACGACCGAACAGAAAAGGTCCACAGAAAGCTCTTAAAGACAACCTCACTATCCTCTGGACATTTCATATGTAGTCACTGTATAAACCTCCCCCAAAAGAAGAGCCAAACAGAAATAAACACTCTTACCCTCTTAACAGGAGTGGAAAGTTCAGGCTCCGGCACACCCGTGCCCACGCCGGTCGGACGCAGTACGTTAGTGATGGGCTCTCCAGGCTCCCCTACAACACAAATGCACATTTCAGATTTGGGCACCGTGGCACAGTGGAACAAACACTTAATTTGGAGTCAGAGGACTTGGGCTCAAATCATGGCTATTCACACTCACTTTCCACTTTTTTCACAGGCTTAGAATCACTTCCTTCCCACATCGTGTTTAGAAGAGGGGCTGATTTTCCAGCCCTTGCTACAGACACGGCCTCATCTTTTCTGTCACCACTTAATGAAATATTCTGGGGGAAAAAAAACATACCAAGGTAGTTCAGTGATGCTGTGAATCAAACAATTGGATCATACTAGATTGTGGAACTCAGTCACAGCTCAGTTTCTCAAATCGTTTTCATTATTCAAAGATTTTTTAAAAAAACAAATACTCTCAGTTCTAACAGGAAATAATGTTGTGTGGTGCCAGTCCCTCCCAGTAAATGCTTTTACTGTCTTAGTTTCAGTATCTAATTTTAAGTTCAAGTTTAATCTCAAATTTTACAATTATGTTAAATGAAACCAAAGAACGTGATTGATCACATCAGTATAGTGTATGAAATTATGGCTCTGCTAGCAGCCAGCTGGTCAACACTAATAAGTGAGTACACAGATATACCAAACACTCTTGTGATACTTTCAGAAATGAGGATGATAAAACACAGATGAAACAAAAGAGTGGGTTTTCAATTTAAAACCTATGCAGCCTTGGGCAAGTCACTTTACAAAAGCCTGGGCTTCAAGTGCAAAACCAGGGGTTGGACTAAACCTTGAAGGCGAAGTCTTCCATTTCTAAATTTGTGATCTTACCACAGAACGATAACATCTTTTTTTTTTTTAAAGGCGGCCTATTAAAATCCTAGAACAAAACACCTATTTTAATTTTCAGAAGAGCAAAGAGCAGAGCAGTCTTAGAAATCATCTCCCCCTGCCCTCTTCTTGCAGGCAAGGATTAGAGATTGGCCAAAGGCTGGCCAGCTGGCCTAGAAGCCCGGCCCTGGCATCCCACCCCCACTCACGGGTGCTTCCCATCAGACCCCACTGTCTGCCCTTCTGAGAAATAGTATTTAGAAAGAGAACTCATGATCCTAAATGGAACCAGGTGGGAATTACAATTACTCATTTCTACAGACCTTCTGGTCCATTCAAAGCCAACTCAAAGACCAACCTGACAAAATGGATTGGACACTTTTAGAAGCAGTCTTTTAAATGTCCAAATTCTCCTTGGTACAGTAAAAAGAGTTACCTCTGAAACGATGAGAATGGGGTTGATGGGATCAAAAGTGAGGACATTTGGGGCATTCTGCAGCAGAGAAGTAACATTTACCGGGGATATAATTTCAGGAAGACCTAAAAATTGAGAACAATGTTAGTACCACAAATAAGGAATAAAAGACTTTTCCCCCTCATTGATTGCAATACTAAACATATACGCATGAAATAACAGAGCATCTAAAAAATTCTCAGATGAAAAGTTAAATGAGTTTACAGGGACAAATACAGACAATAAAACTATCAAAGCAGGGTACTGCGATTTACCCCTCTCAGACCTGGATAAGTGAACAACAAAAACAAACAAAACCTCTGGAGAATATTGGATAGGAAGAAAAAGGAGGGCGCGGCACCTGAACAAAAACTGTCCATGTATTAAGGGCATAAAACCTACAAACAAAAGCAGAGAAGTTAAACACAGTAAATACATCTTTTAAAGACCACAATCAATTGGAGATTAAATTGCTATTTAATCATTCAGTCATGTCTGACTCTTCATGACCCATTTGGGGTTTTCTTGGTAGATACTGGTTTGCCATTTCCTTTTTCAGCTCATTTTACAGATGAGCAGCTGAGGCAAACAGGGTCAAGTGACTTGCCCAGTGTCTGAGGCCAGACTTGAACTCACGAAGATGAGTCTTCTTGAGTTTAGGCCCAGCACTCTATCTACCGGGCCACCTGTAACTTAATGTTAAAGAATGGATGGGTTAAAGAACAAATCAAAGAAGCAATTTCAGTAATGAAAATGACAACAATCAGACAATATACCAAATTTTTTGAAATGCAGCCAAAGAGGTACTTAAGGGAAAATTTATCTCTCTAAACGCTTTTATCAGTGTAAAAAAAGAGAGATCAACAAACTGGATATGACACTAAAAAAATAACAAATTAAAAACCTGCAAATTAATCGAAATAGAAATACCAAAAAATCAGAGAGATAACAAAACAAAACAAAAACCCCCCAAATAATTAATAAAGTTTTCTCGATAACATTATTGTACCATCATTTAATCATTAATAATTTTAACATAATTTAATCTTTTAATATACATATATAAATTTACTATTCACAATTTCTCAAATGACATTTTAATTTTTAATTCGTACTTTAGAGAGATATGCTAATTTGTGCTGATGGAAGGCTTTGCAAAGTCTGTAATTGTTGAGGTTCTTGGCGATTCTTAAGAGCTAAGAGATCTTGATTTGACACCCTACAGGAAGTCAAAGTCTGAAAACCAAGAATAGTATTAGAAAAATAATCCCTTCTCAGAGAAGAATATTTGCTAGAGAACAATTTAAATGATTAAACGCTATTTAAGTTTTCCTCTCATATGAGACTACAAGCTATAATAAATCAAATCTGTTATAAATACAGATATATATGTAAAAGCATATAAGTATAATATAAAATACGTATGCACAAATTCCATCATCAATATTAATCTTTGGTATCGCTTATGAAAAATTACAGGGATATAAGATAAAAATGCATTCATTAACAAATAAGTCAGATTGTGTATTTTCAAATGAATCCTTTATGTCCCTAAATAAATAATATACTTATTTGAAGGACTGCCTTTCAAGGTGGCTAAAGTTCCACACATATTGCCACCACCTCCTCCTCCTCCTCCTCCTCCCCCCCTACTCCATCACCATCCCCAACCCCACCCGCCAATTTCATTGCTTAGGACAACAAAAAGTATTGTCCAGCTCGACCATCCATGTTATTCAGGAGGCTTAACTCTGGGTATTTTAAAAATAAGACTTCTTTCACTGAGGATAACTGAAAGATGTGTCACAGACTCTCAAGATAAAATCCCCAAAAGATTCTGAGCCATGGAAGCTTCACTGGAAAAAACACATAACCCCCTTAAGGGACCTCTTTGAAAAGGTCACTTTCAGAGATACATCTTCTAATTAAAAAAAAAAAAATCACACATTTATACGTACTTACAGTCTTACTCAGCTCCCATGACCTAGTCGTCTATACCACTTCACTCGAGTATTCCCCCACATTCATATCCACAGACCACTTCCAATGCCGTTAAGGCTCAGTATTTTCCCAAGCGACTGTATTACCGCTCTCCTAGCTCCACTCTCTTGCCGTCTGGAGCCTTCAGTGGACCAGATCACCTTACGATGTTCTCCTCCCCTCTACCCAATCCCTTGTTCCTATGTCCTCTAGTTGCTCGAGCTTTGCCCAACCACAACTCAGCATTATTCCCACCCACATCCTGTTCCTAGCAGCACACGACGCTGAATGGAGCTGAAGGAAAGCAGGTGCCCTTGGTAACTGGGTCCATAGGAATTCTGGTCACCTGATCAGAACTGGGCCCTTGCTGCCACAAAGTGCTCCTTCTACTCCCACTTCATTCTTTGTCCCACTCACCTTAGTGACTGTTTCACCAGACTCTTCTTAGGCCTCTTGCCTCAGGCAAAGGGAAAAGCCAGTCTTCCCTCCTCTTCTACTCTAGGTCTCTGGAGAGGTGGTCCTTTTCCTCCCCCAGGCCAACCTCTTTTCACTCTTGGGTCCCCATCCCTACCCCCTTCACTAGCGGATTGCTCTCAGCATTATCAATCTTCTGGCTCTTACTTCAATCTCACTTTGCCTGCTGGTTCTTTCCTCATTGCTCACAAACACAAACAAGTCTTCGTCAATGCTTCAAAAATTCCACTAGATTTTACCAACCCTCCATCATCCTATAGCCTCTTCTCAACCCTCATCCTTCTTGACCCCTTTGCAACATCTGACACTACTGACCACTCTCCTTTGATTAACCTCAAAGTCCCAAGTAAGCAACTTGAGGTGGGATTCGAACCCAGGACTTCCTGACTCCAAATATAGAGCTCTACCTGCTATACCAAACTGTTACTGAATCTGTCCTGGGCAGCAAGGGAAGGCATTGTGCAAGAAAATAGGCTTGAGTTGCCTAGGTTTTTAATTAGGCATAGACTAGAGACTTCAAACTACATTCTCAGTATTAAGAGAGGTTAACATTCTGAATTACTTTACAATCCACTTACCTTCATTTTTCCTTTGGAAGGGGAACCACTCTCTTATGATTCCAGTTAACATGGGGAATGTTTCTGCAAATGTACATAAATCCGTTTCTCAGTATTTATTAGTTTAGAAGGCGACAGCATTCATTGCAGGTTACTCTATATCCCATAATTTGTATTTATAGAAACTGGATTACTGAAGTCTGATTTGAAGGTAATTAACTTAAAACGCAACTTCTGACTTAAGAGACTTTTATAGAGCATTTCTTACACTCTTTTACCATTAGTAAAGTTTCTAGTCATTGAAAAAAAAAAAAACCCAAACACTCATTTCTAGTTAAACCATCAGCCCGCCCCCATCTACCTAGGATCAGATTTAGTACTAGAAGGGACCTAAGATCACCTAGTCTAACCCCCTTGTTTTCCAGATGAAGAAACGGATACCCAGAATCATTCAGTGATCTGCATAAAGTCCCGGGACAGCAACTCCGGTCCAACTTCAAATCCAGCCTTCTTCTCCCTGCACCATCCTGACTCTCTGGTGGGATCGAGGCATGTCACTCAGTGAAAAACACAGGAAAAGAACTTTACCTCTGTGACGAGGCTACTCTAAGATTTAGGACAAATCTCCAGCTACATAGCTGCTTGAGAGAAACTCCTTACAAATGACTGAGGGCCCTAAAGAGTCACCCCTTGTTGCCCTGCCAAAAACGTTGTTGTGACGTTGCTCGGGAAGAAAGGAGGCGTCTGGAGGTGAGGACGGCTATGAACCTGAAGAGAGCAGTACACATGTACACATACCTCCCCCCCCCCCAACCAAAGTGCTCACCTCTGTCTGACTGTTCCAGAGCTTTCATGGTAGCTAAGTCTAGTCCTTATCATCAATATTTGTCTGGCTTAACCATCCTAATTTCAATAATTACTTGCTGCCTCTTGAAATGACATCATTTTCCACTGGATGTGTTACTGTCCTTCCCTCTCCTAAAATATTTGATGCTAGATGTTGTTAAAATTGCCACACAACAAAATTATGTTCCAGTTGACAAAGTATTATCTAAATGCCACATGACTAACAGTACTGTTTATTCAGGAGTTTGGGAACAGTGGTGGAAAAAAGGGAAGTATATTAATCTATCCAATTAGGGGAGAAAATTCTATACGACCCTAGCTTAAAACAAATGATTAATCTGACAACTTGGGTCTCTCTATACATACATATATATACACATACATGTATATTACATATATGGATACACACCTCACAACCTACATAAATGATTAAGACTTTAGCCAAATGTTCTTACAAGGCTACTATTCAGTCAGCATTCTGATACAGTTCTTAGAAATAATTAAAATTAAATGTAAACATTAAGTGACTATACTGTTCAAAATGAAGACTGTCTATAGCTCCAACTGATATGCTGTTAATTTACAAAGCTGTCCCACCATGTTGGATACATCCAAGAGTGTATCCACAGATACTGTGGATGGGCTGTGAACTGTTCAGAATCAAATAGGAGGTGGTGAGCTGGGTGGACTGCCTTTGGAAAATTGCCCAGGGGCAGCATCACAGAATTTTTAATAATTCCAAACTTCTAGTTGGCACCAGAGCTTCTCTCTTAAAAGTCAACACTCTTCTGGTGCTGCAGTCAGATACGGGTTTGTAAGGCATTAAAGTTGTAGGGTGTCGCTCAAAAGACAAGTCAAGGGCCTTCTGGCAGGTTCTAATATACCACCATCCCCAAAGGTGTACAGGCACACTGTAGGTAGTATCACTGGGGAGAATTAAGACTGAAAAGGTAATGGAGTAGATGGGCAGCTCACATGCTCCACTGATAGTGGTGCAGGATGGTTATGAGGAAAGGCTCCCAATGCTTGTTTGGGGAAGGTCCAGCGAAGCAGCATTCATGGCAGGACAGAGTTGAGAGCGGCTCAATATGAAAGGGCAGGGATGGCTTATCATCTGCTGCACCCTGGGTAGAGGAAGGACCCAGAAGACGACCACAGGGGTGACACACTGTGCCAGGGATACCAAGTAGAACAATCACTCTATTTTAGAGTAAGATTTACAAAGCATTTCCCTCACAACAGCCCTGTGAGGTAGGTAGTACAAGTATCATCATGCTTATGGTCACCTGGCAGGTAGGTTTCAGAGACAAGATCTAAACTCTACCCATCCCCTAGGACATTAACTTTAAGGAACTTATTTTCTCACATGGTTGGGGGAAAGTGACTAGCCTACACACAGATAAATGTGTGTTTTATATTAAGGTAGACTGTAAAGAGAATAAAAAAATACATAAAAAACCCAAACTAGGGGATTTAGGGAGATTTTAAAAGGTAGAAATGAGGAGGTAGTACAAGTGATTTTTTTTTTCTGTTAAAGAGAAATATCTTCAGACCTGGAAGAATAGGACAAAAGTGTCCGCCAAGAAGCTGATAGTAAGATATGTAACTATTTAGAGAACTTGGCTGCTCTGGATAAACTCACATAACTTAGTCCAGGCAAATAGTATCCTCAGGATTAAAAGAACTGGCAGATGCGATGACTGGAAGAAATACTACAGGACTGAGAAAGGGCTAATATTGTCCCGATTCCTAACAAAGATGGACTGAACGAGCACAGTGAGTCTGATTTTTATTTCTGGCAACATTTTAGAATCTATTGAAAAAGGAGGATGAACGAATATAGAAAAGGAAGCAGTTACGCTAAGAAACAGCATGCTTTCTTAAAGCACAGGTCACACCAGTATAACTGATAGAATTATTTAAGAAGCAGATGGGGAAGGCTGTACATTGGTAATGAAGCATTTGATAAAATCTCTAATGTCTTTTTTGTGTAAAAGATTGTTAAGACATAAGCTGGAAAGTAATATAAATAGATGGATTTGGAACTGGTTGAATGCTTAGTCTGAATTGTCTAATAGCTTGACGTATCTCTCTAGAGAGAAGTCCATACTAGACTGCTCTAGAAAACTGGGCTTAGCATTGCACTGTTTAAATTTTTATCAATGACTAACAAAAACATAGATGCTATGCCTATCAAACATGCAATAACAAAGCTGGGAGAGAGGTAAAATGCTGGATGACGAGAATCAAAGTAACTGACGCGTTAGAAAACTTAATCAAATCTATTAAAATGAAATTTAATAGTCATAAGTCTTAGACGTGGACTCCAAGTAGAAGCTAGAACAGACATTGTAGACAGTATCCTATCTGGAAAAACAGCTGAGGGTTTTACTGGGATGCAACCTCAATGAGTGAACATTACAATATGCTAAGGAAAAAAAAAAATCAAATGCCACCTTTGGTTAATGTGATAGTAATTACTATATATTAACCCCCATCAGACTTCATTCGGATTATTGTGATTCCTTCTGGCCATCATAGTTTATGGAAGATATCGAGGAATTGGAGCATGCAGACAAAGGCAAACAAAAGTGATGGTTTTCATATGAAGATGGGTTCAAAAAACTAGAAACATTTAACCTAGAGAAGATTAGAAGTGGTAAGGAGGGAGACATATTAGCTGTCCTGAAAGGAAGTGGACATACTTTCTATGCTTAGTCCCCCAGTGTAGAAGTTATATAGAACGGCAAGTTTAGAAGTGGAGCAAGGAAAAACAATGATGATGATCCCAAAATGGAATGGGCCGCCTTGGAAGGGAATGTCTTCATCTGTAAAATAAGATATGCTGTAGAGAACAGTCCTTTTTCAGATCTGGTTTAGATCAAATGGTCATGTGCTTCTCTTCAAATAATCTGATCACAAGGCTGTTAATATTTAAATTTCCTGACTGATAGATGTATTGTAAAACTCTAAACAAATATTAAGAAATACCACCAGTTACCAACGGACACAAATCACAACATGAAATTTTATTTAAAAAACTATAACAAACCTTAGCAGAAGGGCACCAGGGCCCAGGCCTATTCTCATTACCATTTCTCAAAGTGCCAACTCTAACATATTGCCTTTGTTTCATCTTCGTCCTTTTTTCACCTCTCTGCAGCTTTTGACACAGTCGACCCCCTTTCCCGGATAGCATTTGCTCTCTTGGTTTTTGTGAGACTGCTCTCCTACCTGACTACTTTTTATCCATCTTCTTTGCTGGATCCTTCTCCAAGGTCATGCCTAATACCAGTGGCTGTCTCCGAAGGCTTGATCCTGGCCCCTTTCCTCTTCTCCTTCCTTCCTATCTTGCTTGGTGGGTGATCTCCTTGGCTCCCATGGATTTGAAGATCATCTCTATGCAGATGATTCTCAGCCCTACCCTCTTTTTTTGACTTCCAGTCTCACATTTCCAATTGACTAGAGAATGCCTCAAACTCAACATGTCCTAAACTGACCTTCTCTTCCCCCCTAAATCCTTCTTCATCCCAACTTCCAGCTCCTGTTGAGGGCACCACCATCCTCACAAGTGAAGGTGGTCCTCCCCCTGGCCCATTTATCCAATCTGTTGCTAAATCTCACTGTTTCTACCTTTACGACACCTCTTGTACGTGGTCCTTTCTGTCCTCACTGCTGACAAACTGGCACAGGCCTTCTACCCCTTCCCACCATGACTATTCTGCAATGGCAGAACTGATGGGCCTCCCTGCCTAGAGCCAAGGCATCTCCCTACCGCGGAGGTCTGGCCATGCTACTCCCCTTCAGCCCAGCCTCCTTTCAAAAGCGGCCCCCTCTTCTCTTGGGCTCCCCGCTCCCTCGGTTGCCTTGCGTATATACCTTACACACAAGCTTCCACCTCCTCACTCTGACTCGGGGCCTTTTTAGTAGCTGTGCTGCTCCCCCAAGGCCTGAAATGGGCTCTCCTGCTCACCTCCACCTGACTGCTTTCAAGATTCTCCTCCTGGTCCAGTCCCCTCCATTTTTGGATTCACCTCCCACTTAGGCTACATCTTGGGTGTACTTAGTTGCCTGTACATACTTTATTTCCCACGTTAGAATGTGAGCTCTGAGGGCACAGACTATTTGTCTGCCTTTCTTTCTACCCCCAGAGCTTAGCACAGTGGCTGGCATACAGTAAGCACTTAATAAAGGCTTTCTGTGACTGGATTCAGGCACAGTAATAAAAATATACACGTTAGATCCCTATATCCTTCCTGTTCACCTATCTTACCTGGCCCCCAAGCTCCCAAATAAGGGATATTCCAAAACCTAGAAATGGATTGAGTATGTCATTGAAACCTTCTCTTCCAAGGGACCTATTAGTGAACAAGAAAGTAATTAGCCATTAAAACTAAGTCCTAGTTTCTCAAAGAATAGATGGAGATATTTCATATTTTATTTAGTCACTATGAAACAAAAGTTGAGGGCTTCATAAAATTGATTTCTTAGCTCACAGCTCTGAAATGAAGTCAACCTCAAAATGGAGGAAGGGATTTAAAAATATTCATTTTAAGTTTTGACTACACAGAATACTTTTCCTGATAAATTAAAACCTTGACGATATCTGTGGTCGCAGCATGCCTTATTTTATTGAAAAAAAGGGATCATCACGAATGGGCAGAAAAGTGGCACTAAAAAATACACGATACAGCTATTTTCTTACACGGCACAAGCTGGTCTTATCTGTGATAAAGTTATATACCCTTGATTACCCTGGCTTAAATACAATTTTCTTCACACCCTCCTTTTTGGTTGTTTATTCAAGAGGAAATATACTGCTGGCAATTTTCTTCTCCATTTTTCTCATTTAAACATGTGAACTGACCCTGTGACTAAAGAAGGGGCTCGACGTGAGGCTTCAGGTAAAAGCACGACCTCGTTGATCAAAGTGATGGCGTCCCGTTGAGTATTACTCCATGAATGTAACCACCCACAGTAGGTCAGGTTAGGTTTCACATTCCCTCATTTTGTCTCATACCAGACTCTCTTCTTAGGTGCCCATGGCAGAGGTACCAAACTCTGGTCCTCCCAAAACTCCCTACAAGCAACCCCAATCAGGTAAAAATGTGACTGGGAAATATTTAACAAAAATTTTTTAAAACAAATCAATTCAACATAGATAACGTTAATTTGTGGTTGTCTGAGTCAAGAGTCAGCTGACAGTTTTGAGTTTTAGCCTCTGCACCGGACAAGCCTCAGCCCCCACAGAAGCCAGCACTGCTCAGATGTGATGCTTGCGCCTTCACATAAGCGTGGATGGCTGATCTCGACTCTGATACTTAATGACACACTTATTTACATTGGGAATCGTTCTATAGATAGAGCATTATGCTATGACTACCCCTCTTTTGGCTTGATGTGAATCTCACCTTGTTAATGACATCTAATTAGTTTAATGGAAAGGGTTAAGTACACTTAGGTAGTTATCCTGCCCTCCTCAAACTCACCAACATTTCACTGGTACCTTACCCGTATATTGGAGGGCTTTAACTGTTGTGTCTCATGGGCCCCTTTTGGCAGTCTGAAGAAGTCTACAGACTCCTCAGCTGTTGCCCACATTCATTACTGAAGGAAATGCTAAAGCTAGAAGTTACCTAAAGATGTACTTGGATATGGGAAAAAAAAATCATAGACCTCACCCTCCCAGGTTGACAGACGTCTTATCTTGGCTGAAATCTTTCTACAAAAGACTTCAAACAGAAACTAGAGTATTTTGAAGTGCTTTTCCCATTTCTGTGAACTGTTTCCCTCACGGATCAATGTCAAAACATCTTTATTTTTCAGGTCTACATATGTTTTCAAATGTTATAGGAGTCTTTCTTCAAGTCAAAATTCCCCAATTTTAATCTATGTTAATATGGAAGTGAAAAGCTCAAATTTTAAAGTTTATGCCAGATGGAAACCATTTAAATAAAGACAATGTGATGATACACATACAGTAACAGAATACAAAAGCCAGTCTAAGATTTGTAACATCAAACCTTCAGAGAGAATATAATTGGGTTGTGTCATTCTAATACTAAGTTATCATCCAAAAGTCCATCTTGTTTTCCTCCCATGATGCAGATACAACCCATCCGTGCTTGTCCATGCCCCATGTCCCATGTCCTCCCATAAATCCTGGGGGTGAAGGGGTGGAGGCCACTCACATCAAGGGTGCAAGGATACCATGAGAGCAAAGAGGTTACTGGTTCTCCTTTTATCTTGCTGGCAGACCAAACCACTTGTTTTTCCAACCAAGTATTTCTGATGCCAGAGAACGATGATGCAAAATGAAATTATTCTGTTAAGCACATTCGTGGATTGTTATTCCTATGGAAATCCTTCATTTCTCTGCAATTTGTACTCTGGGGAAAGTCATTAAATGTCCTTTGGTGTTGATGTGTTCGATTTTTAACGTTTACTATGACCATTCATAAGAAATGATTAGGAACACACCTCCTTGCTTGCTCCTGAAAAGATATCTGCCCATTAAGGACTCTTTACAAATAAAAAAAAAAAAACATGGTGTTTTCTAAGCTACACCACAGAACTGGAAGTCTCTTTTCATAGGAGTCCTTTTCTTATATCTACCTCTGGATGATTTCACTGGGTTCAAGTCTAGAACAGAAAAAAGGGCATCCCTGCCTTCCTTACTGGTTTCACATTGCTTCATTTGAACAAACAGAAAATTTAACCATACCTTTTCCATTAAAGGTCACCTTCCAACTTATCAAAAGAGTTTCATATGTGCAAGTAGACAGAGGAGTTTTGGGGCTTATTTACCTTCTAGGTATACACACACATGCATATATACATACACACATGTCTTTCAAAAAAAACTTAAGTATCTTGCCAATCTCAAAACTGGATATAAAAGAACTGTGGTATTGTTTTGTGACGTGACCAATTGTGGACACACCATGCCGGCACTAACCTGAAGTATTAATTTTTAAAAAAGCAGAAATTCAGAAGCACCAAATTATATACAATCCTTGAGCAACGTAAATTCATTTTTAAAAATTACTGAAAATAGGTGAGATATAACTGGAGAGCAAACTAGAAAACGAACACCCAAACAGACTCAATTCAAGATGACAAAGATGGGTACTTCCATTACTGAGAATGCACAGTCAAGGCTGCCGATAGTGAGCACACCTCTGTAAGCTACCTGCACACAGGAGGAAAGAGTGTCAGGCCACGACTTCCAATTTCACTGGTGTAGGGAATTCTCAAGGAGGAAACACCCTCTTTCCTCCAAAGCAAACAGGCACTATTTCCGGGATTTACTGCCTTAGTGAGCTGCTGGGGTCCCCGCAGAATTTAAGTGACTTGCTCTAAAGTCAAGGAGGTGCCAAGAGACTGGATCATACACTATAACGTGCTACAATTTTGTTTATTTTGAAAGAACAATAGTCCACATAATAATTGTCATTTCAAATAAGTCAGCTACTAAAAAACCCGTAAGTACACGCTGAGTCTTTGCATATGAAGACCACCACTTTTTTAAGAACCAAAGTACTTTTTAAAAAAGCAGCTGAAAGATACAGATTTTTGCAGTTTGTCAAAATTATAACATGGAGTTTTTAAAGCTTACACCTAAAGAAAAGACAGAGCAATTTACCTCGTCAGTTCACAAGCTCTTTATTGGATGAAAAATTACAAAGAGTAAAGTACAATTTTAAAATATTAAATGCAATTTAGATTTTTGTGAAGGTTGCTTTTTGTTTAAAAAAGTCAAATGGGGGAGGGGAGAGTCTTACAATATCAATGGATTCCAAATTTTTTTTTGACTGTTTAGCATGACAAATTTTAACTAGAGTTCAAAATGTATATAATACTCTATAAAACTGCAATATAAAGTCATCACAATATAATTGAGGAATGTGAAATTCAGAAGTCAGTACTATATAAACAAACAAAATAATGTCTAAAAGTGAAATAGTTACTGCAAGCCAGTTGGCAGAATTCTTCCAAATAGCAAGAATTTTTAATGTGACAGTATCATATTATGAACTAGGGCTCAGCCTTGATTCTACTTGGTATGTAATTCATTTATGAACAAAGAAAAAGAAAACTTCCAATGCTTAAAAAAAAAAAATACCCCACATTCTTAACTTTAACCTCTGGCCAATACGTTTATTGAAATTTTTGCCAACTCATTAATTTTGTGGCAGTGATTGTGAGTGAACGGTAAGACTATCTTCTAAAGCAAAAAGCCCAATGAATGAGGCATGAGTTACTTCTCTTGACAGAATTTTCAACTGTCTCAAATTTAACTGTATGAGGTAACAGATTTAGCACAAGTGAGAATTTGACATTTGAAGTGCACAACCATTTTGCTATACTTTGAATAAAAAAGGGAAGTCTAATTAGAAGGAATAGCAGGAATGGTTGGGTTCTCAATTCAAAACAATAATTCAATTCAGAATGAAGTATCCCACAACGGGAAATATATTTTACAACCCTGCTATCCATGATAAACCAGATTACAGTCACTGTAATGGGAGATGCCTTTAGTGACCCTTTATTTTTGTGATAAGCTAGTGCAGATCTAACCATTTTTAAATGTTCTGCTAAGCAGTTGTCCCTGTTTTGGTCAACTTAGTTCTCTCTTGGATGTTACAAGTCTATCAGAGACTTAGACTAAGTTCACATACTTCAAAGGCAGGAAGATGAGCCTGGGATGGAAAACAAGGTGAATGGATCTGGCAGTACAAATCGAAGCTTCCTGTTAGATGCAACAAACATTCCTTAAAGAGAACAGTTCTAGCCTTTCAAGGAACAGATGTGCCACCTACACAGAGAGACTGAAAAAGGGTGGCTAACCTGAATCGGAATCACTGCTATCGGAAGAGCTCGAGTTGCTGCTGCTGCTGCTGCCCGAGCCCGAGGAGCTGCTGCCATCACCGTCGCCGCCGCCGCCGCTACTGCTGCTGCTCTCGCTCAGACGCGTGGCCCCTCCTTCGGCTTTGGACAATTGAGTTTTCTCAGCTGGAAAACAGGGGGAGAGATAACCTAGCAGCAGAATTAAGGGGCCGCATCAACACTTTCAAACAGTCACCTACATTTTGTTTGGTGGTTTCTAGAATTTAACTGGTTACTGACATCCAGTAACCGCTTTTCCAACTCCTGTTTTTTCTGTGAATGAAGCTCTTCTTTGGATTCCATTATTTTCTCAGCTGCATGATTTAGGACAAAAAGTGAGCATGACCAAAACCAAAGCTAATACCAGTTGGACTGCTGCTAAACTGCAGAGCTACGTACCATGAAGCTTCCTGGGTCTCTTTCTCAGACAGACCATGACGTATTTTTCCAGTTCTCTCAGGGTTGATGCTTTTAGTATTTCAAAATCAATTTCTATCTCATCAGGATTAGAATTCCTTAAAGATGGTTCTCTTGACTCTATTATATGGACGACTCGCCCAAGTTTGTCTCCGGGGAGTTTGTTTATATCCAAGCTTAATTGCCTTTTCTCGTCATAATTCATAGGCTTAGCATCATCTTCATCCTCAGATTTATACGCCAACACTGGTTGTTTGGCCTGTTTTGGCTGACTGTAACAAATTTTACTTAGTTTAGTAAGCTCAGATAAATTCTGCAAAATATATGAGTATATGAGAAGAGAATTATGTGAACAAATAAGCATGTGAAAAAATTCACCTGGTTTTCAGCTTTTTCTTCAGTTTTATTTGCTTCAATTTTTTCCTCTGACTTTCATCTTCGTTGATAAATTTCTTTTTTTCTTTCTTCTTCCCTTTTTTAGATTTCTCATTCTTTTTCTTTAGCTTATGGTAAGGCACTTGAGACAGAACTTGTAGTTGCTGATGCACAGCTTTAAGCTAATAAAGAGAAACAGTTAACACTTTGAATTATACGTTAAGGACAATTATAAAAAATGAAGGGGTTGCAAATTCATATACATTATCTTAAATAAACTTTAGACCCTCATATTCCCTTGAAGTCTGCACATTTGATTTTATTAATTCATTATCCTAAGTAACTCCCTTTCCTTTAAATATAAATTGTCTCCAACTTTCAGACATGAAATAAAAAGACAGACCAAAGACACAAGAAATTTAAATTCAAAAACAGATTCAGCATTTGCCCAACAGACTAAAAAATTTCCAAAATAAGCATGCATTAAGTCTATAATTTTAACCATAAAACAGGTTATAACTAGCAGTTCACTAAGGAAATGTTTTGGGGTTTTGTTTTGTTTTTTTTTAACTTGAAACTACGTTCACACTACATAATTTTAGCTTGAAACTACATTCGTCCACAGGACATTTCAGAAACGTCTCGTAACTGCTTAAAATCAGACATCACTCAATGTAGCTAGCAACATGAAATTTCTCAACATAAAGATTTTTTTTTGTTAAAATAAGTATCAACCATTTCGAATTTCTTTGACTGTTTACCTAAACCACAAATCATCACCTGGCTAATTTAACTGAAGAAAACACGCTCACGGTACACAAACACGACGGTGCTGACCTGGCCTAACCATGGCGTGGGGCAGGGCAGTTGCTGACATACCTGCTCCTGAAGCTTGGCAAGGCGCTGCACTCGTTCATCGGGTGACTTTTCAGAAGAGTTGTCCTCAGAGGAAGCATCACTACTACTTTCTCTACAAAAAGCTTTTGCTACATCCTTTTTAATGTAACATATAGGCATTCTTTCAATGGGTTCATCTGGGATCTTAGCAAACTGCATCTCAAAAACATCCTAAAAAATAAATACATAAAACAACCTACAAAACCTGTCTACTTTATATTTCATAACAGAGCAACACTGCTGCTGAGGAATGACGCTCTGCAGACACTGTCAATAGTAGGCACACAACAGGCATAGGGAATATGTTCCAGCTCCAGCACTTCTCCCCTCAGGGTAACTCCTTCCTCTCTGATCCTGGGAGACTGAATTCCGGTGATCTTGAACCATTCAGGGGGTTCTTCTCGTCTCTCCTGAAAGTGTCTCCTGCTCAATAGAATGAAAACTAGCACAATACACCGGGGGCTACCCTCCTCTTGCTCCTGGGAAGCAATCACACAAACCACTGAACACAGACCTGCACGAGTGAACCACACAAGAACACCTGCACGTGCAGGTGTCCTCAGCCACACCGAGGAACCCTTTATTAAAAGGGACTTTAGTCAGTAAAACCTTAAAGTGCTAAACTGCACTATCCAAACTCTTTGGGAAAGATGCATCAATATTAGTTACAAAAGTCATATAAACATAGACTATATTCTTAAAATGAAACAAAAGAGAAAAATCTGAAGTAACATCTCACCTGAAGGGTTCTTGCCATTGCTACCACTTCATGATCAGGTGGGTTATACTTGTAGCAATTCATAAACATTAACCGAACATCTGCAGCAAATTCATGTGCGTCCTTATATTCTCGGTTGTCCATTTTTTTCTGTTAAAAATATTCGAGTTTACTTAAAGCTCCAAAAGGATCCTAGCACAAGACACGTCCATAATTCATGCTTCCCAGCAGTAATGCACATCTAGCAATGCTATTCTGGCACACCATTTCCCCTCCCTCCCCTCAAGCGTCCAAGGACAGCACCACATTCGTTTAAAGTCCATGTGCTCCAAGGTACAAACATTTCTCCACAGGAGGCAGGGAGCTAGCCACACAGCATCAGACCACTGCACTGGAACATTGTTCCAACTGAAAAAGAAAGACTTTAAACCAGATGACCCAACATCCAGAATAAACTATCCGGGACGAGGATGTGCACATAATGCTAACGTGATACAATGTGAATAGTTGCCTGAGAGAAGGCAAGACTGCCCCAGCCCCCTTACATACCTATGCCAGCAAAATGCAGAAATCTGCCCCAAACCTAATAAAGTCTAAGATATCCAGAAATAAACTAGAGTCAAAGACCTCATCCAGCAAGAAGACGAGTAGTGGCAGGAAAGGGAGCCTCGATATTCCGCCCTCTCAGCTTGAAAGGTCCAAAGGAGCCTATCTTGGAGGTGACCCAGTGCAGGACCAAACAGGACAGACCACCCCACCCCAAAACACCACAGCAGGCAGAGCCCAGCTGAGGCACAAAGCACCAGTCAAGAATTACAATGGAAGAGGTGAGTAAATAGACACTAACAAGGCCAAAAAATGACTGCAAACCTAGAAATGCCCCAAAAGAGAACTGCAAGCACAAACTAAAAGGAAAAGTGATGGACTGCACAAGAACCCACATAAATGTCCGGAAGAACATGAAGCAAGGGTTTAAAAAAATGGAATGAGACAACGTGGCCAACCTTATCAAGGAAATGGAGTCCCTGAAAACCAGAAGAGACTAAACGATCAGTGACTCCAAAGAGAGCAGCACCAATAGAAGATGTCAGGTCTCGAAACCATAAACAAAAAGAATCCATCCTGGCCTCCTAAAAGGAAGCCCAAGAAGAAAAGCCCCAGTAATCCTGCAGCCAAAAGCTCAGAATACAGCAGGCATCCTGAAAAAGAAACAGTTCCAATAGCAAGGAATCCCAGTGAAGCTCACTTAAGACATGACAGCTTCCACTCTAAACAACATCTTAGACTACAACATCCCAAAGGCTAAAGAGACAGTCTTTCAAGCCAGAATCCCTCACCCCGCAAAGCTAGACCAGAGCCCGGTAGGAACTCTGGAATGCACAGTCCAGAGATGCTTAGAAAGGTCCCTCTGAGTAACTGAAAGAACTGTGCACTCATGCTGTCTTAATATTCTAAGGGGAAAGAAATAAGCATTCCTCCAGAATCTTAATGACTGTAAAGGACATTGGGAAAGCTGAACAAGAAAAGCGGGTCTAGAAAGAACTGGTTCTGTTCTGAGGGTCTAGGAAAAGAAAGAAGGTAAAAGAAATACTCGGTATAGAGAGGAGGAAGGGAACAGAACTGGCTATTTTCCGTAATTGGGATTCATGGGAACATGACTATGAGAACAGAGAAGAGATGGGGGAAATAGGCCTCAAAGGAACGTCATTCTCGTCCAAAGTGGACAAAGGAAGGGTGAATGTGATGACCACAGAAACGTGGCCGAACTCAACACGGAACCAAGCAAACGCTGGTGGAGGGGGCAGACGTAAGAGGGAGGAGAAAACTCAGGAAGGAATAGTTGCAAACAATCTTCCAGGGCTTGAAGAGAGATTAAAAGGAGAAAAAAGAAGAACAAAGAATTATAATTTAAAGGGGGTCTCTCTTAAGTGGGGAATGCCTGAACAAAGTGTGGAATATAAGTGTAACAGACTATCATTATGCCATATTAAAGGAGGATAGGGACCATTTTAGAGAATCCTTGCTGCTATGAAAATGATAAAGAGTGACACAAGCAGAGCCAGGAGAACATCTGGGCAAGGCCAGCATCTCTGAAGAAAGTGATGCCCAGAGGCCCTAGGAGGAAACAGTCCTTTGGACAGCAGTGACGGGACTCGAGATGCAGACACATTCACTCCTGGACTTGGGCGGATTCCTCGTTCTGAACAATGGTCCATCTTTTCTAACAGTTCTGTCCAAGACCACCACAAAACCCCATCACTACAGATTAAATACAGGCACAACACTTTGTGATCAGTGATTGGGAATACATTATGAAACAGATGAACTCCACAAAGTTTGGGATTCATAAAGCTACAACAATGAAACAAAAGTTGATATAAAACCTTAACCTATTGACACAAGGACGTCAAAGGGCCATTAATTAGGTAAACAGAAGACAAAACCACTTACTTTAATCGTTCCAAGGTCCATTGGATTTTTAACAACATCATAGTAATTATGGAGTCCTAAAGCAGTCACATCAACTGGTTTATAAAAAGGCCAAGCATATGCTACGTGTTTCTTTGCAAACATTTCTTTAACAATCTCATTACAATATTTTAACTGCTCAGTTAATTGGGGACTTTTCACAACTTTATATTGTTGCTGAGAATCTGGTACAATATTCTTCACTACTTTTTCTTTCAAAAGTGGTATTTTAGCAGATTTGTGTTCAACTGGAGTTGGTGAAGATTCACTACTAGCTGTAACTATGGAAGTTGTAGGGGTTGTGGTATCTGCTTTCCTTTTCACTCCCTTTTTAACCTAGAAGAAAATCCATAATTTAAACAATTACTCAGAGCGCTTAATTCTTCAGAACTTACAGAAAATATCGGTTAATGAAAAATTAGACAATAATTCTAACAGTAACACTTAAAATGAAGGTCCAAAAATCCTTTCTTAAAAAATCAGGGGGTGTGGGGCAGCTAGGTGGCGCAGTGGATAGAGCTCCGGCCCTGAAATCAGGAGGACCTGAGTTCAAATCTAGCCTCAGCCCAAACACTTGACACTTACTAGCTGTGTGACCCTGGGCAAGTCACTTAACCCCAATTGCCCCCCCCAAATCAGAAACTTTGTTAAAAAATGCTTTGCAAAAATAAACAAAATAGGAAAAGATGTTCAAGCGTGTAGTTCCTTAAAAATGAAGGTTTGTAATAAGTGAGATGATTTTATTGCCACCTCACTTTTAACTTTTTGCTAGATATACAGTTAAGACGTGACATGGCACAATATCCCAGCGTTAACTGAGCTCTATCTTCCAGGGACCATCTGCCTTACCTGTGTTACAGCCTGTGGGGCACAGCTCGGCACAGCTGCTTTAGCAACGTGCAATGGAGAAAGTGATGTCTGCAGACATGCAGAAGAGGGAATCACTTGCTGCTCGGCTGCCATTTCAGATGCCTTGGGAGATGGTTTCTCTTTAATAGTAGAAACTCTGGGAGATGGTTGAGTACCTAATTTAAAAAAAAAGTATTCAAAAAAGTCAAATATTGACAAACAATTCTTTCAGAATTTCATTTTTATGCATTCACTTTTACACACACACACACACACACACAGAGAGAAAACAGAACCCCGATGTCATATTCCACCCATATTTCAACAACTTGTAGTTCAACTGAAATTATTATGTAGTATCTTTCCTGGTCTAAACACTCTTTCCAGGCTTCTCTGTTTTAAACTGAATGCAAGACAAGAGGCCTGTCTTAAGGAGATGAACTAAGCGGAGTAACAAAACCTTAGAACAGAAAGTTATCTCCTGTTCAGATCCCAGCCTTCCCCTTCCCAGAAATGACCAGCATCTGGCATAGAGGTTGGCACATAGTAGGCACTTCATAAATGTGCTAACTGATTGCTCCAAGGGCACATCTCCAGTAGGGCAGTGCTCAGAAGGGTTGGCGATAAGACTCGTCCTTCTCCAAGGAGAAGGGATTAAGATAGCTACATTTAAACATACTCTCCTCTCCTCGTTCCAAGATTTCTGTTAGTTCAAAATCATGGTAGGGTAGAGACATGGTCAAGGGTATGTATGGGAGGACTACCTCAGTTTGGACATCTCTCTATTGATGTTAAGTTAAACTAAATGATTTCTGAAGACCTGTATGTAAAAGAGTACAGTATCACTATTTTTCCCCTTGACAGCCCGCCATGACCACCAATCACCAGCAGCCAATTCTGAATGGCTGCCAAAAGCAGTACCATCCTCATCACCAGGATTTATTTGGCTGCCTTAAGGTTTGCCAAGCCTTTTACACTCGTCTCATTTGAGGTATATTAGAACATAAGCCCTTCTTCGTGTTCCTGTGTCTAGCACTCATGGCAGTGTCTGGCACTTCAAGGCTCCTGGTCTGTCACCAGAACCAAGAACTCTCCATGAACACTGCTACCAGCTACCCCAGTTTTCACTAAGCAGTGCTGATGGCAACGATCCGGGAAGCACAACTCAGGGATAAGCTACTGACGGAGGACAGCAGTGATCCCACACCTCCTAGAAAAACATCAGACAGAATCCGACGACACAAGACGACCAAAGTGACTGCTGCTGAGAAAGGCGGGCTGCTGTGCACTACCCCAAGTGAGGTTCAGCCAAGGGCAGGACTCAGAAGGACCTGGGAACCCTGAAAGGACAGTTCACAAGTCTAATCAAGAGCCTATCATATCATGGAATGGTTGATCTGGAGCTGGCTGTTTAGTATCCCTTAATATGCAGAAACGCTGGTGTACTCCAACACCTTTGGATCCTTTGCTGATACTGAATTACAAAATGAGGCTACCAAAGTCATTTTATTTATATCCTATTGGGAGGATTTTGTTACTAAGGGCCTCTTCATTCCTACTGTACTATCCTCAGGTGGCAGCACACTTATTTTTTTCTCTCCAATTTCAAAACATGCTTTTGGGAAAAGTGGGATTTCTGCTGATGCCCAGAGTTCCCCTCCTTGGCTAGCAGGGACGATGAGGTGGTTCTCTACCAAGGTTCCACACTTGCTGGTCAAAATCAGAACCAAAGCAGTACTATGGGAACAGCAAGTTAAGTCAAAAAGTTAGCCTATCTTCTCTTTTAGCAGAATGGGCCAGTATGTCTGGTGTGAGAGAAACCAAGAAACTTCAGGAAGCTGGTAAAGGCCATGCATGATTAACGTGGGCTTTATTCTTAGGAGAAAAATCCAATGCGTAACAGCAAGACTTACTAACAAAACTTGAGACGAGAACCCCTTATTAATTTTTAACCCAAAACACAACACAAACTTAGACAAATCTTATAAAACTTTCAAATCAGGCCCGTTCCCCCCTATTTTGTTTACCTTTTCTTTTTCTTTCTTTTCCACCTATCACTAGCTCTTCTGAAGGCATTTGAGACATTTTTTGCATAAACAATTTCTCTAAGGCTTGTGCCATGAGAACAATGTCATCACCTGGCTACAAAACAAATTAAAGATTTACGATGTTATTCAGTTACAATTGCATCATGTAAAAAATATTTTGCACATATAGCATTTGGTATACCACAGAAGGCTTCATAAAAGAAAATCAGAAAAATTACCCTTCTCACGTTACCTCTCTCTGAATTTTACAGACTCTGTCCAATGGAAATCACATTACTCTGTGTAATTATTATACCAATTTTGTCTCTGGAAAAGAAATAAGGGCTTAGACAAAGAAGAGAAGTCAACGTGAGGCAGATGGGGGAGGAAAGGAAGAACTTCCCAGCATTCATTAAGAGGCAGGAAGCATAGCCTCAGTGGTCACTGGGGCAGACTCTTAGAGCTGGAGGAGACCAGAGAGGTTAAACAGCTGTGGAGCCCACGCTGGACAGATGCTCGTTTCAAGGTGGGGAGACCCCATGGGGCAGAGGAGATATCAGCGGCACTCCCACTTGGGACCGGTGGCCTCTGGTTTCTTGTCCACTTCTAGCTTACTTATGGAGGAGACATTGGCCCAAGCAAGGGCAACCTTAACCTTCTACAAAGCGAACTCTGACTTCCCTTGTCTGCCCCAGACAGTCCTACCTCCCCACCTTTGCTCATGCTTTCCTCTCTACCCAGAACGTGCTGTCTTCTCCTTGTTCCCATTAATCCCTATTTCTATAGGACACAGTGTGGCCACCTGATACTACCTGGGTGACCTCAGGCAAGTCACTTAACCCTCCCTAAGCCTCAGTCTCCTTACCTGTACAATAAAGGGTAAGCAGGCAGACCAGGATGCCTCCGGCCTCCTCTGCTCTCCAGCATGTTAGCCCCTTCAGTCGGTCATGACCGCCTTCCCTCTCCATAGAGCACCTACCTAAACCATACCCATGCCATCCATCCCTGCTCCTGACAACCTGGCTGACCTCAGGAGGGTCACTACCCTTCCGACAGGAGATCGTAACTGACCCCTACAATTCCCAGCTCTCCACCCTTCCTCTGTCTATATGGGGAAGAACAAGACTGGGGCCTCCGAGAGGACAGGGACCAGGTCTGTGCAGACTTCTGCATCAAGAGCAATACAATGATCTGCATACAATAAATGCTTAATTGGGGAAAAAAAAAAAAAAAAAAAAACAAGTGACAGCACAGTGCATACTCAACTCCTGAACTGAGATTGAGTAGGAGGCACAACGCAGGGATTCAAATATATGTTAAATATTTGAATATCAACTATTTGGGGCAGTTGGTGACTTAGTGGAAAGAGCCCGAAGTCTGGATTCAGTCATTTTAAATCCAGTCTCGGGTCCTTCCTAGCTGTGGGACCCTAAGCAAGTCTCTGTTTGCCTCAGTTTCTTCGACTGTAAAAGGGTGATAACAGCACCTGCTTCCCAGTATCCCAGGATCAAATGAGATAATAATTGTAAGCACATAGCACAGTGCCTGGAATACAGTGATACATAAATATCAGCTATTATTAGTCACTGGATGAAAACAGTAATAAACTCAATGTATAGAACTAAAATGATAAATTGAACATATTTCTACAGTGCCTAACACTGCATAAACAACCTATTTTCTAGGACCTAGAAGTATGACTAGGAAGAGTAGCATACCTTGTTATATAAATAACAATTGGTGAACATTGTTTTCAAGTCGTCTATACATTCTGATGATTTCACATAGTATTTATGTTCCAAGCGCTTCTTAATTGTACTCAAATCCATTGGCTTCTTAATGATGCTGTAATAGTCCTGTGGTGTTTAAGTTAGGAGAAAATGAATGCTGGAGAATATGGCAAGAATACATTTGCCATAATTATTGGTGCACAAATGAAAGAAGCAAACATTTAACTTTCATCATGCTTAATTGGTTTCATCATAAAGACAGGATCTGAAAACCAAATAGCCTTGTAATAAGAGACCCAGTGTCTGACTGTCACTGGAGTGCTTACACAAAGAAAGAGGTTCAGATCTATGATAAAGACAGAATTTTAAAAATATACAGAATTACACAACCAACCTTATGCCAAAGCTGGCAGATTTGTGACAAACTTGGCACTAAGCTAAATATAACAAAAAACTAGTCTATTCTATTCAAGAAGGGAGTATAATTGCAATGTACATTTGTTAACAAAAGACAACAATTTGCACCAAAATTTCTGAAAGAATTCATTTCGTTCAGGTAGGAGTCAGAGGTGGGGATGAGGGGATGACTTAGAGGACCCAGGCAACACTTTGACATACCACGTATGTCCTAAATATTTCACATCCCCCCAAACTGGCCAGGTTACAGTGCTGTGAAAACAACTGAGCAGCCTGGCTCTGGGATTCAGCAGAGGCCCCCAGAAATCAGAGAAGTCTGACCGGCCCAAGGCTGCCCAGACTACTCTAACAATGACTGGGTGACCCCTGATTTCAACCATACCTGATGATGCTTGTAAGGATACAGTGCCCTAACAACTCCTTTGGGACAAACTAACTACAAGTTTAAGGCCAGAAAAAGTTTCAAGGAGAAGAACCTTTTTCTCTTCTGTTTTGGTTTCCTTCCCTCTTTGGGGGGTGGGAGATGGGAAGGAGGCAGTGATCCTACTGCATGTTCTTCTAGAAGCTTCCTAGGCACCATGCTCTTACTCTACGTGTGCTCTGGACCTCTGATTTCATCCATCCAGAACTCCCAAGTGTGGAAGCTCCCTTCACGAAGCCGAGCTGACGGCAAACTGGTCCGCAACTCGGCTGATTTCTTCCAGAGTTGCCTGGAAGCACCAAGAGCTTCAGTGACTTGCCCCAGTCAGGGGCAGAATCTGAACCCAGGTCTTCCTAACAGCGCATGGCCCTCTATCTACCACATCACACGGCCTTTTCCAATATGCTATGGTGCTAACTCCTACCTAAGACACTCACTTCTAGGGAAAAGCGTCTGCGACCAGAATTACAGAAATTCGCAGCTAGAGAGTGTGAAGGGAGCAGACACACCACGGCTCACACAGCTTCATCTATCTGGCAGTGTCCATCCTGCAGGTGCAGAGTGTCAGATGCTTAGGAAGACAGGGCCTGCTGCGTTAGCAGTGCTGACCATGAGTTTCCAGGGAATGCCAGGCCCCACAGTGACAATCACAGGCTTCCTAGGCCCTGACGCCCTCCACATGCAGATGCTGACCCTGCGCTGTCCTGGCACCATCTCCAAGCCGGCCCCCTATCCCCCACTCACCGGGAGCTTGAGCTTGGCAGCATCCACGGGCTGCTGGAAGGGCCATGAGAAGCTGTGCCGCCACAGAGCCTTGAGGACCACCTTCTGCAGGTACTGCAGCTGATTTGTGAGACGGCCAGTTTTTTTGGCATTTATGTACTCCGGTGGAGGAGGGTTGACAATAGCCATCTGTCGACTGGACACAGACATTTTGAACCTTTTCCTGGTGGGGTGTTGTCTTCCCTATACATATATCTGGGGAGGAAGAGGCAAGATGTGTTCAGACTTAATCGAGGCTCATGACAATGCTTCCAGCCCCCTCCCGGCCCCTCCAGTCTGGGATTCATAGTCTGATCACTACCAGTGTTGTAAAATAGCAGTCCATCCACAATCCTGTGACTCCAACGCTCACTACAGCACTGGAAGCCCTCCCCTCTGCTACTGCAAAGTGAGCTCTCTGAAGTCAAAGACCGTCTACCTTTTTGTGTCTGTAGCCCCAGTGCTTGGTGTCTGCCACAGAGGAAGCCACTTAATGATTTTTTATTCAAAGACTACATCGCCTTTTTATACATGCCTTTCTCCTATAAAGTCGGTAAAAGTTTGTTCATTGTGTAGTTCTTAGTTTTAGTATTTAAGTTTTCACAATATTTCCATTTGCTTTCTTAAAAGCATCTGCAGAGTTGAAATGTGTTTGTTAGAAACCCTATGAGAAAGACAGACTTAGGCAAGGGCTAGTTTCTAAACAAATATTCCAGATGGATGCGAGTGTAAACTTGTCTTTTGGACAATATCACAAACCAGTTAAAAATTAAGACTTGGACAGAAAAAAAGATCTTAATGGTTTAACATTCCATAAGCCAGCTTTACATTCTTCATATGCTGTTCTAAAGCCCAACCAATCCAGCCTTCTTCCTGTTTCTTACTCTAAATACCCCATGCATGGAATGTATTCACTTCTGCCTCTTTAAAAGAAATTCTTCTTCAATTAACAAAAGCCTCTCCCATCCCCAAGCTCCACTTAAAAACACAACAAAATCTTTTTACTAATACGGATAGCCAAGTAAACTCCTGCAATTGGCCGAGTTAAAGAAAAAAAAAGTCTCATTCTGTAACACGCTCTTACCTCTGCTTAAGAATCCCTAGATTCCTTCAAAGTTAATTTAACAACTTTGAATTTATTTTGCCTACCTAACTGTGTGTTACCTCCTCCTAGGGAGGGTGGGGAGTGGGTGGAAGACTACCCCTAGAGCCTAACACAGGGCCTGACAGACACTAAAGAGCTCTGCATCTTAACTTACCTTTCTATTTGTATCCCCAATGCTTTGCACACAAAACATAACAGTGCTTAATAAATGCTTTTCATTCATTTATTTCAGTCAAGCACCTAAAATGCAGTGTTTGAGTTTTTCCTGTTTATTTCATCAAAATAAAATGTTATAGGAACATTAGAAAAATCACTTCCCAGGTAAATTAGAAATCACCCTTTGGTGAGTTTTCATATCTTTTTTGGCCTCTGCAACTCAATACCACCTACCCTTCCTGGACACCGGATGCCCTCTAACAGCCTATCCTGGACTTCCTCTTTCTACACTCTTTCTTGCTGACCATATTAGCTTTAATGAGTCCAATGATCTCATCTACTCAGCTGACTCCCCCAAACGCTGTTTCTACAGCATTCTCTCTTCTGAACTCTGTGCTTCCATGGCCAACTATCCATGAGCATTTCAAATTCAACCTGTATAAAACAGCCAGTCATTAAACACTAAGCACCTACTACATTCCAGTGCAAGAGGAGGCAGTCCCTGTCCTCAAGGTGCTCATAATCTAATGTCTAAACAGACTCACCAGTCCCTCCAGCAGACCTTCTTCCAAACTTACCCATTCCCACCGCTTCCATATCCACAGTCCTTACTCCCCTCCAGGTTGTTGACACTGATCTCTCTACTGCTTTCTGTCTGACCACTCCCCTTTTAGGTCTCCCTCAGTGGAGCTTCTTCCGAAACCTCTCCTCTTCTCCCTCAATCCTATTTCACTTGGCGATCTCATCAAGGAGGGGAAGCACTGAAAGTCGGCAGGTCTAAGAACAGTCTAAGCTGTTCTTGATGTGAGGAATGCTAACAGCTTGGTTCCCACAGAATTGATAAGAAAACAGGACAGAAGGAGATTAGGTTACTGATTACACAAATATGTAAACAAGATAAGGGAGTACTTCAGGAAATGTTCCTGAAAGTATCTTGTTTGTCCAGGCTTTCCGGCTCTCCCCTCCTTTTATCTTACTTTCCTGCTGAACCAACAGTTCCTTGTTTCACGCCTTTTTGCAACCTCGATGCTGGGGAGAAGTTTCCTCACTTAAGACTGTGAGCTCTGAAGCCCAGCCAATGGGAAGAGGAGCTAGTGGGTGGGTGGGGGTTCTGTGTTAGGGTCTGTATAAACTGGCTTTGAGCTACACTCCCTCCCACACCCTGACTGGAGCCATCTTAAGTGATGCTGGGTGTGTCCTTTCCTCATGAGAAAGCAATAAAACTCCTTTTCACCTTTCTTAAGAAAAAGTCTCTGATTTGATTATTTTGAGGTTCACAAACACCCCACACGTTGACATCCTGATCCCATGGAACTCAATACTACAAGAAACCAGTCACGAAAAGCCCAGACATTCCCTCCAGAAGCATGAAGAGCCCAGGCCTAACATTAAGGCAGAAGTCAGAAGTAGGCTGGACAAATGACCAAGCAAAGAGAATTCCACCATAAAAACTTATAATGGTATCAAGGCTGCTCAGAAAAGAACGACTTTAAAACATCTACAAATAAAGACTTAAAGAAAAACACAATTTGGGCACAAATTCAACTAGAATCCCTGGAAGAGATGACCCAGGAATTAAAAAAAAAAGTTTGCCAATGTGATGAGAGTACTGGAGGGAAAAAAATGGGAGAAAAATGAGAGCTTCTGAAGAAAGAACTGGAAAGGGAATGATCAACAGCTTAGCATGAGAAGTACACAAAACCTTTCCCAGGCAATAAACTCTGAAAATTAAAAAGGATTGAATAAAAGGTAAGGGTAATGACTATGAAAAAAGACATTTTTTTAAATAAAAAGACTAAAAGAAGAAGACAGTGCAAAGTATCTCATAGCAAAAACAACTAATTTGGAAAAGAGATTAAGAAGAATAAATTTAAGAATCATTGGACTACCTGAAAGCCACGGCCAAAAAAAAAAAAAGGTAGACATATCATCTCACCACCCTAAACCAGTTCCTTCATATGTAAAATGAGAGGGTTCGACTACTAGATCCGTTCTCAGGGCCATTTCAGCTCTAAATCTTAGATCCGGGTATGTACCAGAACCACAACAACAGATATGCAAATGACAAAACCAAAGCTGAATGCTTTATAATGACCAAGCTCAAGCTACAATCATTCACCAACCACATATTAAAGTTGCCTACCATATGCTAAGCTTTGTGCTAGGCTCTGGGCAGACAGACACCAACCCCCCCAATCCATCCCTGCCCTCAAAGACAACTCAAATCTTCCCTTCTGTAAGAAACCTTTTTCTATCTCCCCTGACCCTTCCTCTCCCAATGCTACCAGTGCCTTCCCTCAGAGACACCTCCAACAGACCCCGAATCTGGGTTGTATATCTTTTCCAGTGCCTGGCGCACAGCAGGCACTTAACAAATGCCTCTGGCCCCCAAAGGAGACAACATGCACATAGCCAGGTACAAACCAAACAGGTATAGTAACTCCAAGGTGGTGCCACTTCGGTGGAGTCTGGAATGAAACCAAGGACTCTAAGGGGAGGAGGGGACAGATGCGTTCCAGGCATAAGGTCACAAAGACAAAGGCAAAGAGACCTGGGCGTCACTTGCTGAGAAAAGGCCAGGCAGCCATTTTAGTTAAATAGTATGAAATACGGCTGGCTTGTGAAATGTTTTGGAATTTATAATTCATCCCAAAGGGAATAGGGAGCTACTGGGTTTTAAAGTGGCGACATGGAAAAACCACTGTAGTAGCTGAACAGAGGATGGACTGGAAAGGGCAAAGATTTGGGGCAGGATGATAAAATAAGCCTGGCAATTGTCCACACAGAAGGTGGCAGGGGCTTAAAGCACCTTCCCTTCTATGTCAAGGGGTGTGTGGGTGTGTGTGTGGAAATATGAAGGTGTCAGAGACTGTAACAATGGTCCAAGTAAGATAAGAGATAATAAGGTTGAGAGCTGTGGGTACTTTCGAGGTGGCAGGATTCTGTGACAAGATGGAATGCAGTCTTGCAGTAAAGAATCAATCCAATCGGTCACCTCCTGAAAACCCCTAGGAATATTAGGGCCAAAATACAGAGCTTCCAGGTCAAAGAAAAACTAGTTGAAGCAGCCAGAGAGAAAGAATTCAAATTCTGAGGAACCACAATTGGGCTCACATGATTTTGCCACCACTAAATAAAAGAATGCAGAGCTTGGAATCTGATATTTCAAAAAGTAAGAGAACTAAGCTTACAACCATGAATAACTTACTCAGCAAAACTGAGCATAATCACATAGAGTGCATAACACAGACCTCTAATAAAACATGGGACTTCCAAGCATTCCTGATAAAAAGACCAGAGCTGAGCATAAAACTGATATACCAACACAAGAGACAAGAGAATCAATCATGAAGGAAAGACAAATAAGTAATCATAAGGGACTTAATGAGAGATGACATCATAATATCCCCTCGGAATCTTATCTTCATCAGAGGATCATACAGAGAGTCTAATTAGACAGAGGGCTTGGGAACGGTTCTGATCATGGTAAAGGAATGAAAAAGGGGAGGAAGAGGAATAAACTGGTGTGTGAAAGAGGGCAGGGGAATAAATTCTCACATAACTGGGGTGCTGAAATGAAGTCTATACAACAAGGATGGAGGGAGGGGGCAAATGACACAAACCTCACTGTCATTTGAAATGATCAAAAGAGAAAATACACACACACACACACACACACACACACAGAGTTGGGGTGCAAATATATACTTTGCCCAACAGGGAAATGGGAAGGAAAAGGAAGAGAGACTGTAGATTAAAGGAGGGATTATTGCTCTTCAGTCATCAGTTGTGTCTGACTCTTGGTGACCCCATGGACCACACCCCACCAATACTATCCAAGGAGTTTTCTTGGCAAAGAGACTGGACTGGTCTGTTACTTCCTTCTCCAGTGGATTAAGGCAAACAAAAGTTAAGTGCAAATTTGCCTAGGATCACACAGCTAATCAAGTGTCTGAGGCCAGATTTAAATTTAGGTCTTCCAGACTCCAGGCCCAGCACTCCATCCACTAAACCATCTAGCTGCCTCAGGGGAAAGATTAGTTAGAAGCAAAATAAACCCTTAAATGGGGGACAGGAAACAAAGAGAAGGTAAAAGTTTACAATAGGGAGGGAAACATAATTAACAATTATAATTGTGAATGGGATGACCGCATCCAGAAAATGGAAAAAGAACAGCAAATGGAATTATAAAGTAGAATCTTCTTTACAAGAAACACACTTGAAACAGAAAGACAATTAAAATGGGACTGATGTGAAATTTTTTGTTTGAGCTAAGGTTAAAAAAAAAAAGACAGGAAGAGGAACAATCAGGATCTCAGACAAAGTAACAACATAAATAGACCTAATTAAAAGAGTTAAAAAGGGAAATTACATTTTGCTGAAAATAGAGAATGAACAGATATCAACACTAAACATATATGCATCTAAACATATAAGATCTAAATTCTTAAAGGAAAAATTAAATGAATTCTAGGAAGAAATAAACATTAACTATAATAGCAGGGGACTTAACTGATCCCTTCTCAGACCTAGATAAACCTAAAAACAACAACAAAAAAACCCACAAAATAAAGAACCTGAACATAATTTTAGAGTAAGTTAAAGAAAAAAGCTCTGGACAATATTGAACAAAGGATCATGCATGAGATAGCACCTTCACAAAAATTAATTATGCATTAGAGCACAGAAATATCAGAAGCAAATGCAGAAATAGCACACTAATCTTTTATAGACCATAATATAATAGAAAAAAAGTATTCAATAAAGGAAATTAATGTTCTAGGATAAGGAGAGAAGCACCGGAATGGAATTAAAAATTGACTGGAAATTAATCCTAAAGAACGGGTGGGTCAAAAAACAAATCACACACACAAGATCAATAATTTCATGAAAGAAAACAACCAAAGAACATGCCAAAAGTGTTTTGGGATCTGGTCAGAAGAGTATTTAATATAAAATTTATGTCTAAACACTTCCATTAATTTGAGAAAGAGAGAGAAGGGGGAAGGGGGGAGAGAGGAGAGAGAGATCAATGAACTAGACATGAAACTAAAAAAAAAAAACTGGAGAAACATCTAAAAATCCCAAATTAACCCTAAAATAGAAATCTTGAAAAATCAGAGTACAGATGAACAAAATTCATTGAAAGTTAAAAAGAAAAAGGATAAAATTAGAAGCTGTTTATTTGGAAGGGAGGGGGAAATAAAAACAACAAAACATCTACCACTCTGCACAGGGACTCTTCTAAACCTCTTCCCCCATTCTTGAACATCTCCCCACATACCTAGTTGAGATCTTTGCCTCATAAAAAAACTGAGGCCATTTGAAACATTTCCCTCTTCTCCCCTCCTCCCCATCTATCACTCAGATGCCTCCTGCCACCATCCCACTACTTTATGCTTCACATGCAAACGGGTGGCACCCTATGCATGATCAAAGGCAACCCTCCTATCTGCACAACAAATTCCATTCCATCTCATCTCCAACATCCTCCTGTCATGAGGCTTCTCTCCCTTTCTACTAGCTCCTTCCCTGCTCTCATCCTAAATCTCTTCTACTCTGTAGCTAAAAACTTGGTGAAAAGGGCCTCTACCATAGATGCCTTCACTCTCTTCTAAACCCTTGACAATCGTGCTGACAGCCTTGTCAGTCAAAACTGCTCTCTCCAAAATCTCTCTCAAAATCAACATCTCCTAACAGCCAGATCCAACAGCCTTCTCAACTCACTCACTCTCTTCTCTTCTCCTCAACAATCTCTACTCTAGGTTTTCAG